CCAGGCACCTCACCCACCTGGACCGCCGGAGGGGGGCGCAGGGGTGTGGCAGCGGGGTGGGTGGGGCTCAGGGGTGTGGCAGCGGGGTGGGGGTTGCTGTGAAGCTGCGCACAGCACACGGGTGCGAGAATGTGCCGAGAGCGGAGCCTCACACGCAGCCTGTGGGATGTGGGTGGGGCAGTCGCCGTGGAAGGCGTTCTGACAGCTCCCAGGTGGTCACACGGTGGCCCGCGGCCCGGCTGCTCCCCTCCCAGGTGTGGGCCCAGGAGAGATGCAGGCCTGTGTCCGTGGAAGCCAAAAGGTAGAACAGCCCAAATGTCCCTAAACTGGTAAAAAGGATAAACAGAATGTGCCCTATATCCGTATTCTGGAGCGTCCCTCGGCTGCGAGCAGGAGCCAGGCGCCCACAAGTGCGGCCCCGGGGACGGACCCCGAGCCCACGACGCTCAGGGAGGGAACCAGACACAGACGGCCACGCGGGGTGTGCGTCCACGTGGGTGACACATCCGGAACAGGCTCATCCACGGACGGGAAGGGGCTCGTGGGGGCCCGGGGCTGGGGAGAGGGGATGGCTGATGGGGACGGGGCTTCTTTTTGGGGAAATGGAAGGTTCTGGCATTAGATCGTGGTGATGGACACCTGTGAATATTTAAAAACTGCTGAATTGTTTGAAGTACATTTCATGAAACTTGGTTACTTCCGAGAGAAGGAGCAAAATTGACAGTATTAGAGATTTATGTCGCCGCACGTCCCAACCGAAGCAGTGACAGTCATCAGAGTGCCGGCTCAGGCCAGAACCCACAAGATGCCGGACGCAAACCACATCCTCCACACACACCCCACCCCCGAGCCTACATCTGAGTGTTGCAACCTGCCCCCCAAAGTCTTCTCACATCTTCAGAGAAAACCCCAGGAGAGCCGGGCCTGACTGACGCCTCAGAGCCCTCGGGCCTCACGGGAACAGCAGGGCGTACGCTCTTTTTTCTTTCTCTTTAGGAAACGAGCAGATGAAAGTAGAGAACTTTGAAGCTGCCGTGCACTTCTATGGGAAAGCCATCGAGCTGAACCCGGCCAACGCGGTCTATTTCTGTAACAGGTACTGGCGAGGCACACATGGGAGAAGCATTTGTACTGTCACTTAGGGGTTGTTCAGCCAGAGCCCCAAATCAGCAGCAGGCGGCCAGCTTGGTGTCCACAGGAGCTGAGCGTGGCATTAGAATTAAAATCGGGGCAGCGTTCTGCACAGATGCTGTGGCAAGGAAATAAGCCAGACCACAGGTGACGTTCCACGCCCACGTTCACGGCGGCTCAGCTGCTGGCCGCGAGGAGCCGCGTCCAGCTGGTCCTTTTAAAGGGAGAGCTGCCTCCGCTCTCCCACGGCCTCCCAGGACGGGCCATTGTGCTGACGAGAGGGACTGAGTGGGATGTGGGACGCAGGGTGGCCCCGGGACCCAACGGTGGGTACTGGGGAAGGGGGTGCCGCACGTCATCCACACTGACGCAAGGCTAGAACTGCTTGTCGTTTTGGTTTCTTTATTTTGACTCTGGGGCAGTAACACAAACAGATTGACAGGAAGGTTGCACACATAGTCCCGAGAGTCCCGTACACCCTCCACCAGCCCAGCCGCTCAGTGTTTCCTATCTGACACCTTTCTGCACTTCAAAACCTGGGAGAAATGCAAAGTGCAATATTAAAACCTGATACTGTCCAAAAACCCATCTCGCGTGAGAGGAGATCCCTGAGAGCTGGGACGGGGGTCTCACATGGATCGGTTACTGTCTAACCGATTTTATTCCCTGACATAGAATGGGCTTCAGCTCCTGACGGGGGGGCAGAGCCTGGATGCTGAGCCTGTGGACTTGGGGTTCAGATCCTCGTCCCATCACAGCCAGGTGCTTTGCAGCATCGTTGAGCCAAGCTGCTCTGCCTCCAGCCTCAGTTTCCCCAGGAGGTTGTCGCAGCCCCCAGCACAGGTGCTCTGCAGACAGAAGCTCTTGGCAACCCTGTGCCCCCCCCCACCCCCACCTGACAGATGGGGAAGCCAAGGCTCCTCCCCAAAAGGCTCCTCCTTGGCAGCGAGTGAGCCCCCCAGCCCTGCCTGCCTTGTTTTGTTTCCCCAGGGCCGCGGCCTACAGCAAACTCGGGAACTACACTGGGGCCGTGCAGGACTGTGAGCGAGCCATCTGCATAGACCCGTCCTACAGCAAAGCCTACGGCAGGATGGGGTGAGTGCTCCGGGGGGACCGGGAGGGGCCGCGCCGTCTCTACCTTCCTGGACCGCCCCACCCCCCCCATCCGACTGTTACCCCCGTTCCTGTTCAGGGTGCTTCCCACACGCCCAGCCCCCCCACCTGCCAGGTGTCTAGCAGTTTGCTTTAGTCCTGATCCTCTGTCTAGACAGAGTCAGGACTCGGCTGCACTCACATGTCCTAAGTCTGGGCCTCCCCCGCTTCCGACCCAGCTGCTGTAAGTTGGCTTCCCACCACTCACTCTCGCTCTCCTGTGCTCCAGGGCTTTGCTGGTCCAGTGGCTGTGCGTACCGGTCCATGTAGAGGATGCAGACAAAGCTCCACAGGGCAGGGTCCAGGAGGGGCCCCGGGTGGGAGCTCTGTCTGGCCCCCTAGAGTAGGGTGTGATGCCTTCACCAGTGGGGACATTTTCCATATCTCGTTGTTCAGTTTACAGCCTGCTCTCCAGCCTTCTCCTCTACCGGAGGTTTGGGGGTCACGAGGTCCCCCCTCAAATCCCAGATTTGGTCTTCCTGGCCACCAGCCCCATCCTGAGTCACTTCCTGGGCATAAACTCGGGTGTGATCAAAGGGGGTCATTATGAAAACCAGGAGATGCCTGTGATTCGGGAAGTTTCAGATTTTAGGAGTTCTGTGCCAAGAACAGGACCGGCCACGTCCGACCACCCTGCTCTCTGCTCTGCGCCCCTCCTTTGGGCCTTCAAACCTATTGTGTGGACTCTTCTGGGGCGTTAGCCCTTGTGCCCTTGAATTCTTTTCATACACCCATTCTCTCAGCGCCCCCTGCCCTTGTGGGCTGTCCTCACCGTCCCCACCAGACGCTAGGCCACAGTGACCACGGGACCAGTTTGGAAGTGGCGGGCAGCCTCCCAGGCCCTCTCCACGCACGGGTGTCTCTCCCCCAGCCTCGCGCTCTCCAGTTTGAATAAGCACACCGAGGCCGTGGCCTATTACAAGAAGGCCTTGGAGCTGGATCCTGACAACGAGACCTACAAGTCGAACCTCAAGATAGCCGAGCTGAAGTTGAGAGAGACACCTAGTCCCGTGAGCAGCCCTAGGGAAGGGAGTGGGTGGGAACGGGAATGGGGGCCAACTTCCTCACTGGGGTTTCCATAGGAAGGAATGGGTGAGGCAGGGGAATGCAGGCCTAGGCCAGGCTAGATACGTCTTCCCAGCAGAGTCCGCGGCACAGGGGCCAGCTTTCGCTGCCATACGTCTGGCTCTGGGGCGGTCGGGGCAGGGGGTGGTGGCCGAGTGTGAGAGCCTGACGGAGGAGGGCTGGGGGTATGGGCCGTGGACTGGTGGGTGATGGTTCTCTGGCAGTTTGTCACCCCTGAAGGCCCTCCAGGCTCTGCGGGGGCCCAGGGTGTCCGGGCCTCCCACGGTACTTTTCCTAAGCAGTCGGTGCCGTGGCTCGTGCCTGTGACGAAGCACCGTCTGGCCGCGAGGCCTGGCTGCTGGGTTGTGAGGATGTCTGAGCCGTCGGCCTCTTAGGATCGCAGCCGCCCCGCTGTGGGATCTTCTGTCTCCGTTCCGGGGGCCAGCACCATGGTCCTGTGACCACTCACCAGGGCTCTTCTTATCCCCACAGACAGGAGGTGTTGGCAGCTTTGACATCGCCGGCCTGCTCAACAACCCCAGCTTCATGAGCATGGTAACCTGCGCTCCCGTCCCCGTGGGGGCCGCCTGTCGTGGGGCAGGGCCGCCCGCTCTGGGCATTGGTGACTCTGGGCCAGGCTGTTCTCTGGGGGCCTGAGCGGGGCGCCGTGGGGGACAGAGAAGTAGCCCCAGCCCCACCCCCTCAATGCCAGGAGCCCCCCCCCCCGTGTGACAACCACAGATGTCCAAGACACCGCCCCCTGTCCCGGGACAACACCGCCCCAAGTGAGACCAGCCCAGTATTGAGCACAAAGGACCCACGAGCCTTCCCCAGCCGACTAACCTAGGGAAACGGCGTGCCCTCTCCCCACTCGGTTTCCTCCTCACGCTGTGGAGACCCTGGCCGCAGCAGAACCGCACCTGCTTCCCAAAGTTCGGGTGGATGCCCCTGAGGCGGAAGCCCCACCTCTCGACGCTGGGACTTAAGGCTGGAAGTGCTAGCTCTGCGCAGGGCTGGTCCCCGCATGCGCGTGTCCCCGAGTGGTCTCACTCACCGCACCTCAGGGTCCAGGGTCTCCACGCATCAGGAAGAGAGAAGTGCCCTCAGGGCAACAAGGGGCATCTTGCTTTCTGCATTGGCAGAGGCTGCACTTAGTCTGCAGGCAGGACGGCTGGCTGGGCCCCGGGAGGGGCCGAAGCCGCCACAGGGCAGGGGGATTCAGCCTGGCAGTGCTCACACCTCTTGACCTCCTGCACCTGGAGTCGGCACGCTGGCTTGGTTTGTAGTTGTTAGCGCACAGCCCCCGCCGTGCATCTGTGGCAGCACTGGAGGGTGGTTGGGGCAGACGCTGGCCGGTGAAGCCGAGAACCTCAGCTCTGGCACCTCACGCAAGTTAGCCAGGCCCCCGTGAGCCACACCGGGCGGGATCCTCTCCCCGTCCCGCTCAGCCTCTTCCTGAAATGGGTCCTAAGGAGGGACAAGACCCAGACAGGATCGAAGTGGTAAAACGTGGGAGATGAGATGTCGGGGAAAGGCGTCGACCAGGCCTGGTGTGCAGGCAGAAGATGGGTGGGGGCGCTAGCGCGTCTGATGATGGATTCTTTTCTGCAGGCGTCAAATCTAATGAACAATCCCCAAGTTCAGCAGCTGTAAGTGACAACTGGCTTCCTTTGGGTCTTGTGGTTAGAATTTTTTTTTTATTGTGACAAGATGCATGTAACATAAACTTACCTGTTTTAACCATTTTAGGGTTGACAGTGCAGTGGTATTAAGTACATTCACCTGCACAGCCATCACCACCATCTAATTCCAGAACATTCCATCACCCCAAAAAGAGTTCCCATCCCCATTAGGGGCACTTTCTAGCCCCCCCCCCGGCCCCCACGAGCCCCCTTCCTGTCTGCGGATGAGCTTGTTCTGGACGTGTCACCCATATGGACTCACACCCCGTGTGGCCTTCTGTGTCTGGCTCCCTCCCTGAGCGTCGTGGGCTCAGGTCTAGGGCTACACCCAGGAGCGGAATTGCTGGGTCACATGGTGATTCTGTTTAATTTACTGAAGAACTGCCAGGCTGTGGTTAAATCTTAAAGCACAGTTTCTCATCCACAGCACTGCTGAAGTCAGGGCGGGTCACTCTCAGGGGCATCCAGGCCGCAGTGGGGGCAGGCCAGCATCCCCAGACATGGCCTCGTGTCCCCTGGTTGAAGACCCCTGTCTTTAAGCTAAAAACAAAGGCTGTTCCCAAGTGAGCTGGTGGAGTTCACAGCAGCCACCATCAGAGAGAGGGGTGGGCCGGGGGTCCTCTGGGCCCGGGGGGGGCTGCTGCGCAGTAATACAGAGCAGCTCCTGTGGGTGAAAGGGCAGGGCCTGGCGGGAATGGGCGGGCTGGGCGGGCTGTCACATCGTGGCTCTCCTTGCAGCATGTCTGGGATGATTTCGGGTGGCCACAACCCCCTGGGGACTCCCGGCACCAGCCCCTCACAGAATGACCTGGCCAGTCTCATCCAGGCGTGAGTAGACCTGCTTAGTGGGACTCGCGGGTGGGGTGGGGGCCTACCCATGAGCGTAGGAACGAAGGTGCTGTGTCCCTGGGCTCTCCGTTGGACCCTGCATCCTCCAGTGAGTAGTGGTCCTGCCTGTGGGGGCACGCGCCTAGGAAGTGGCCAGGATGCCCCAGGCCTCCCGGCTGAGCCTGGACCTGCCTGTCCCGCAGCGGCCAGCAGTTCGCCCAGCAGATGCAGCAGCAGAATCCAGAGTTGATAGAACAGCTCCGAAGTCAGATCCGGAGTCGGACCCCCAGTGCCAGCAACGATGACCAGCAGGAGTGACCAGCCACGTGAGTCCCTGTGGGCCGTGGGTCCATGAGGTTGGGAGGGCCTCCATGGTGGGGGGTGTCTGGGATCATCAGGCCCCTTCCCAGGTGTTTCCACTCACACCCTATTCCTTCTGGGCGGCCGTCTGTGGGTGGGCTTGTCACTCCGGTGGGTTTTGTGTAGACAAGGGCTGAACCGCCACGGCTCCCAGGCAGCACTTGTGCGGAAAGTCTCCGGGCAGCCACAGTGATGGCCAGCGAGGTCCCTGGGAGGGAGACCGACAGGCCCGTCCGGCCTCGCACCGCACACTCGGGGTTCCCTGGGTGTGTGTTTGCTGGAAGCAGCTGTTAAGGAGGCAGGATTGCTGGAAGCAGCTGTTAAGGAGGCAGGATTGCTGGCAAACAGACTGGGGGTCCCTAGGGGTCCAGTGGCCATGGCTGGATCGGCACCCCCCCCCCAGGGCCCCTAAACTCATCCTGTGCCCAGAAGATGTGCTTCCTGGCACCGTGGTTTTCCCACCCGGGAGACTTGGGCATCACTGTCTTCCTTTCTCCTTTGTGATTTTCTGTTAAAAATTTCAAAGGACAGGGCATCTGGCTGGCTCAGTCCATGGAGGATGTGACTCTTGATCTTGGGGTTGTGAGTTTGAGCCCCATGTTGGGTGTAAGATTAGTAAAAAAATAAACGTAAAAAAATAAATAAAAGTTTTAAAAGTCAAAAACATTGAGCAGCAGGAAAAATAACTTTGATCTCTTTACCTGCAGCAACGAATGTGAATTATTTGGGCACGTTTTTCTTTTTTCTTTTTTTTTTTCCAAAGCACTCCTAAAGAAAAAAAAAGCACAAAACCTAGTTGAGATCAATTTTGCATTTGTTATAAGTCGTAATCTTCTCTGCAAAACACCTTCGCCAGCACTTGGTATCCTCAGCCCCAGAGCCTGCAGGGATGTTCTGCATCCGCGCTAATGCGGCGCTGTTGCCCCCGAGGGCCACCCCAGCCTGTGAACGCGGCCGCCTGGCCAGCGACCTGACTCGCCACCCTCGTGTCTTCTCCCCCCAGCTCTCCCAGTGCCGCCAGCTTCTTCCCACCGACTGGAAGCCGTCTCGCATTTTGCTGTCTTCTCCCCTTGGACCACCCAAGAGAGAAAAAGAAACAGCAACTGGACCTGCATGTTAAGATGGATTTTTATTACTCCCTTCGCCCTCCCCTCCCTGTTTGTAGTCTCCCACAGCCCCCAGACCCTTCTCGAAACAGAGCCAGCAAGCTGTGAATGCAGACCAGCACTGATCTCTCCCAGCCCCCTGAAAACCCAGTCACGAAAGCGTTTTCTAGACTGTCCAGGGCGGGGGTCGTCCTAGGCCACTTTCCAGGAAGCAGCCTGTTTTGTGTCGAGCCATGTCAGGGACACCCATGGCTCCCAGAGCCCCTCTCTGCAGCCCCTGCGGTCTGTCTTCAGTGGAGACATGAGAAGCCACTTGTAGGCCACAACCTCGGCCTCCCCAGCTGCGCCCTGCTCGGGTGAGCTCACTGCCAGCTGCGGTCTGGGCACTGGTGGCCGCCCTGCCCCTCGGACTGCAGGTTTTCATGTGAGGAGGTCTTCAGATGCATTTTCCTAAAGGACGATTTCTGTGACCTTGTGCCCCAGTTGGGAGCAGGGGCGGGACTGTCCTGGGGCGCACAGGACCAGGTACTGGGACTTTTCTTCCAGTCGAGCATTTTGATGGACATGTGTCTCATCTCTGATCCTCCTTTCCCAGTACTCATGACCCACAGACCCCAAGGGGCAGATCATGACCTTTCAGCCTGTCTCCAGCCAGGAGTCCAGCCCACTGCCCTTCTGCCCACAGGTGGTCCTGCCGGCCAGCCTGTCTGGGTCCTTGGCAGATTCTCCTGTCCTGTTCAGGGCTTAGGGGGGGCCAGCAGGGGCCCCTGGTGCCACCTGCCTCAGCCTGACGTTGCCACATAGCCACCGGAGCTGCTTCTGGGGAGCAGGCATGCCAGCCATGGCCGGGCAGCCTGCCCAGGACACGAGGCCACTGCGGATGTGCCCACGGCCTCGCCTCAGGCAGGATGGGGGAGGGGGGTCAGGTCTGCGGGTGCCAGCGTTGGCATCTGGATCGTGTGAGGTTCCCTGGTGGTCCGGGCCACCTGCGAGGTAGACCCAGTACGTGTGTGTCGTAGGTAACTAGTAGGAAGACGGGCACTGCCAGCCTCCCGCAGTCCATCCCACGTCTGGCAAGATATGTCCTAACTTGAGTGCTAGCCATGGTGACGACAAAACGTGTGGGGAATAAATAGACATCACGACCTCTGCTCCGCTCTGCCTTGACCTCTCACGCCACCCCTGCCCTCCTGCCCCAAGCTTCCAGAAACCCCCAGCCTGGGGCTCCTGCCTCAGGGACGTGGGGGTATCAGTCATGTCGACGGCTGACACGACACAGCTGGAAGCTGTTCCCACGTCAGGGGTCACAGATGATTCCAGAAACAGCAAACCTCTGGGCTGCTCCTGTATTTCGTCTCTCGCACACCTTCGTTTCCCACCACACTCCAGGGACCAGCCTGGACTCCTGGCCTCTCGGGCAGAGCCCTGAGGGTATCTCCACACTCCCTGGGGTAGCCCGCAGGGCCTCCCCTTCTACCTGCCACGGTGAGGAACGTGGCGCAGGCAGCCTGCGTGTGAGGTCCGCCTGCTCCCCCCACAGACGGGGTAACAGTTCCTGGGGAGAGGGAGAGCCAGGCCGGCACGTGTGTCTCGCAGGGCATGTGGGGTTCCTCAGCAGGCTTACCGGCAGTCCTGATTCTGGGGACGTCTGTGGCCGTCACGACCGCATCCAGGAGTTGAGGGGTCAGGGACGCGGCAGAGCCCCCGCAGGCCCGGTCTCCATGCTCCTGAGTTCGCTCAGCCAGCCCCCGTTGGTTCTGCACTTGGCACGAGCAGCCTGCGTGATGCTGATGTGCCTGTTTGGAGAGCCACACTCAGAAGCACCGGGAGGCGCGGGGGCATGAGCCCTGTGTTCCAGAAACCTCGACGTGTGCATTACAGGTCTCCCCAGATCATCTGACTCCTTCCACCGTGTGTGTCCATCGCTGAGCAGCCCTGCAGGGCCCCTGCCCCACACCCAGCCTGTGTGTTCAGGAAAGATCCAGAAACTTTCCGTGGAGCTGCTGGTGGAGTGGGAAGAGGGGAAGAAAAGAGCAGCTGTCAACGTCTCATCCCAGAAGCTGGCGGCTTCTCCGTGTGACTTGACGAGATGTGTGTCGTGGGTAATTACTGCCTGATCCCACACGAGGTAGAAATAGGATCTTCCTGAATATTCCTGTCAGAGGTGCACTGAGGGGGAAGGAAAAAGCGGCAATTAAACACGGAGTTAGCATAAGTCGTGACTTGGAGAAAGCTTCCAGGAGTAGGCTGGGCCTTGAGATACTAGGCGGCTGCTGCTACCATAGATGGAATCACGGGGTCTGTCCTCTGTGCCCACACCCTCTGTGCGCAGTTGCCCGGCCCTGGACCGCGAGCCTCAGCCAGATTAAGTCCCAGGACACTGAGGAAGGAACAAAGCAAGGGGTCTCCCCTGCGGTCAGTTATGCCCCCAGGGGCCTGGGCTGTGTCTGGGGGACATCGGGGGGTTGTCACAGCCAGAGAGGCTCCTGGCATCAAGAGGCTGGGGCCAGGGAGCTGTCAGCCCCCTGCAGCATGCACCCTGTGGCATTCCGAGCAGCACCCAGTAGGCCCTAGAAAAATGTGTCAGATAAACAGATGTCCTAAACCACTCTGCCACCAGCAAAAACAATCTGCTCATCCGCTCTGGAGGGCTCCGTATCTCTGCTGCAAAGGCTTTGCCCCAGGCTGGGTAATGGCTTTCCCAACACGCCCCCTCCATCTTGAAAATCGACTATTTCAAAGTGGCCCTGGCCTGGGAGATGCTGGGGCCAGCAGGTGGCGCAGCAGCGCTGTGGCCTCCTGGACACGTCCCTGGTGGCCAGCCTGGAAAGAATGAGCCTACATCTAATCCTGAAACCACCTGGGGTTCGAGCCTAGAAATGGCCATGGTCCTAGGGATCAGGGCTGTGCTTTTAGAGCCAGCTGTCCTTTCAGAATTCTAAGCTGTAGCCAGGGACACTGGGCCACCATCCTGGGGTCGATTCTGCTCTGCTCGTGGCTGTTGGAAGCTCATGTAGACTTGGGGGGGGTGTCCATTCTTTCCTCTCTCATTACTATGCTTCTTACACTTCATCAAAGCATAAAAATACATACGTGTAAGTGCACAGATTATGAGCAAACGGCTGGATGAATTTCTACAAAGGTTGGCACCCAGACCAAGAACAGAGCCCACCCAGCATCCTCATCATGCCCCACACTCATTACCACCTTAAAGGGTAACACTTCCCTAATGTTTAGTACCATGGGTTAGTTGTGTCTGGTTTTGATATAGATAAAATGGAATCTAAGGGGAAGAGGTAAAATTATAAAAATCATAGAAAATTTAGGATATGATTTGGGGTAGGCCAATTTTTTTTTTTAAGATTTTATTTATTTAATTGACAGCGAGAGGGGGAGCACAAGCAGGGGGAGGGGGAGAGGGGGAAGCAGGCTTCCCGCGGAGCAGGGAGCCCAATGCGGGGCTCGGTCCCAGGTCCCTGGGATCATGACCTGAGCCGAAGGCAGTCACTTAACCAACTGAGCCACCCAGGCGCCCCTGGGGTAGGCCAATTTTCTTAAAGAGAACACACAACACTGTGATAGTTAATCTTATGTACCCACTTGGCCAGGCCACGATACCCAGATATTTGGTCAAACACTAGATGTTGCTGGGAAGGTATTTTTTTAGATGAGAGTAACATTTAAATTAGTTGGCTTTGAGTAGAACCGTGGACCCTCCATAATGCAGGTGGGCCTCGCCTAACCAGTTGAAGTCATTCAGAGAAAAGACCGGTCCCTTGAGGAAATTCTCCTCAAGGGAATTCAGCCTCTAGATGGCCTTGGGACTCTAGCTACAGTGTCAACTCCTCCTTGGGTCTCCAGCCTGCCTGAGTGGATGAGACCATTTGCAATATATATTTCACAAAAATATAAAGTATTCCTACAAATCCATAAGAAAAATAGAACCCAATTTTTCAAAGAGTTTTTTTTAAAAAAAAAAGACCTTTTATTCATTTGAAAGAGCATGAGCAGGGTAAGCGGCAGGCAGAGGGAGAGGGAGAAGCAGGCTCCCCGCTGAGCAGGGAGCCCAATGCAGGGCTCAATCCCAGGACCCTGGGATCATGACCTGAGCTGAAGGCAGACGCTTAACTGACTGAGCCACCCAGGTGCCTGAAACCAGTTTTTTATTTTTTATTTTTTTAGTTTTTTAAAAGATTTTATTTATTTGACGCAGAGAGAGCGACAGCAAGAGAGGGAACACAAGTAGGGGAAGTGGGAGAGGGAGAAGCAGCCTTCCCGCCTGAGCAGGGCGCCCAATGCGGGTCTCGATCCCAGGATCCTGGGATCATGACCTGAGCCGAAGGCAGATGCTTAACGACTGAGCCACCCAGGCACCCCTGAACCCAGTTTTTTAAATGGGCAAAACACTTAGGTGTTTCAAAAAAAAGGATATGCAGTTAGCCAGTAAGTATATGTAAAGAGGCTCGATTTCATTAGCTATCTGAAGAACACTGTTAAAACCATAATGTAAGGCAAATACACCAGAGTGGTTAGAATGAACAAAGCAAGTGCTGTTCATTACAGAGTTGCATCTGGGGCCCCAAGAGCACTCCAGGTGCGGGGATGTGCCAGGAGGACCCCCAGGGCTCAGCAGACGGTCGACCTCACGGCTGTGGTTTATACAGAGAGGATAGGAAGCCAAATGAGCTCAGGGCAGAGGCGTGGGGGGCAGGGGCGGGGACACCAGGCGCGAGCTTCCAGAGTCCTCTCCCGGGGTGTTCCACAGGACGTGCTTAGCTCCCCCAAAACGAGACGGGACCGCGTGTGTGAGGTGTGGTCTCCAGGGGGCCAGCAGAGACCCAGCACCCGGTTCTCTGTGGGGGTTGGTCTCGCGGGGCCCCCTGCCTGGCTTGGGCTGGGACCCCAGACTCCGGGAGGGGAGCAGGTGCTCAGCCCGAACCTCGTGTCTGCACAGACGGTTCAGGGACCCGCGCCCCCTGGAGGGCAGAAGCCCCTGGAGTATGGTTTCCAGATGCCACTGAGGGCCTGCCTTGCAAGCTGGCCTTTCCCAGGACAGCAGTCTCAGGTCTGCTGTGTTAACTCTTCTCCTGCACCAAAGGGGAAAAGTCGGCTGTATTAAGTCCTAAAAGCAAGGGTTTGCATCCCCTGGGGCCCCCGATGTACAATACCAGCTGTGGATGTATGCCCAACAGCAACACATATGAATGGCCACCCACAGGCAAGTAGAGGCGTGTTCAGAGCAGTGCCCTAAGCCAGAGCCAACACCAGACAGTACCCAAATGAGCCTCCGTGCAGAATGCTAGATGCTTGGGAGTCAGGGGCAGGAGGGAATCTGCAGAAGTGCAGGTCATGGTCACTCTATCGACTGTGAGGGTGGTTTCACAGGTATATTACACATACGTCAGAACTCACCAAGTTGCAGGGCGCCTGGGTGGCTCAGTTGGTTGAGCGACTGCCTTTGGCTCAGGTCATGATCCTGGAGTCCCAGGATCGAGTCCCGCATCGGGCTCCCTGCTCAGCGGGGAGTCTGCTTCTCCCTCTGACCCTCCCCCCTCTCATGCTCTCTCTCTCTCTCATTCTTTCTCGCAAATAAATAAATAAATAAAAACAACTCACCAAGTTGCATACTTTAAATACGTGTCATTCCTTGTATGTCAATTATCCTTCAATAAAGCTGTTAAAATGGTTTTATTTCATGTTTCCGTAATATTTGTTCCCCTCTTGTATTTGTTCTCCTGTGAAACATCTATTCATCTCCCTTCCCATTTTTATTCTAGGATGTTTGTTAGAGAGCACTCTGTCGTCTGTCGTTGGCATTTCCTTCTGGTCCGTCTCTTGTTTCTTAAGCCCATTCATAGTGTCTTCCACTAGGGGAGATTTTTTGAAGTAGACAATGCAGTCAGATGTGTCAGGTTTTTTCCTATGATACCCTGAAGATACCTGCTCATACACAGGTCCTGGAGCCTAGGAAGTTTTCAAAAATACATCCTTCTCCGAGCAGCCCCATTCTCTAAATAATTATGAACAAATATTGCACATCATGAATTCTTCTATAGGAAGGCGTCATCCTGTGGGCATTTACCTGCTGTGCACTTACTACAAACAATCTTTTTTTGTTGTTGTGAATTACGGAAACCAGAAAAAGACAGTATAATAACGAATTGTCTAATGATAACAAATAGCCACCCCATATTGTGTGCCTACAATGAGGAAGGCAGAAATTGGCATTAAGTGTTAAGAACTCACAAACATACTTAATCTCTGCAAAGCCCAGCTCAGTCTTCCAGCACCTCCAATATCTGTACCTCCTCCAGTCTTTCCTGTTTTAGTGAACAACGCCATCTAATTGCTCAAACCAGAGAACTAGAAGTCACCCTGATACCTCCTACTCCTGCAACCCGCCCAGACAAACCAGTGCCATGTCCTGTCAACTCACCGTCTACCCTGGCTTCTCCATCTCCCCTGCCAGCGCCCTTACCTAAACCAGTACCAGTCCTTGCCCAAATGACTCAACCAGTCTCCTGCCTCCATTCCTGCTTCCCTACAATTCAGGCTTTACACAGACATTAGAATCACCTTAAGAGATAAACTAGATCACAAGCTTCACCCGCTTAACGCCCTTCAATGAATTGCATTGCATTCACGGTAAAACTCAAACTCTTTAATGTGGTCTATGGGACTGTCCCTAATCTCTCCCCTCCCTGTTGCTCACTAACATTCAGCCAGCCTTCCAGTTCCTCCAACATGGCAGCTCTTTTCTACTGTTACATCATCTATGCTCTGCTGCTCCTATTCTCACCAGTTTCTTTGGTTAATTCATACACAAAACTCTCTTTCTTTTCATAGCATTTCATACAGTCTGGGTCCTCAGCTTCAGGGTCTCTCAAGGTCTACAATCAAGGTGCCCACTGGGCAGCAGCCATCTGAAGGCAGGCCTGGGACAGGACCCCCTTCCAAAACCACTCATGTTGTCGTCAGCAGGATTCAGTTCCTTGCAGGCTCTTGCACTGGAGGTCTTAGTCTCTTGCTGACTATTGCCTGGAGGTCATCCTCAGTTCCTTGCAGTGTGGGGCTCTCCAACATCTCAGCTTCCTTCTTCAAGGCAGGCAGAGGTTGTGCTAGGAAGACAGAAGTCAATCTTTTGTTTTTTACTCCATTAATTAAAAAAAATTAAATTGTGGTGAGATATACATAAAATTAAACTTACCATTTTAACAACTTTAAGTGCACAGCTCCGCAGCATGAAGCCCACTCACAGGGTCCTGCAGCCACCCCCACCCTCCGTCTCCAGAACTTTCCGTCTCCCCACACGGAGACTCTGTCCCCACGAAGCATGGACTCCCACCCCCTGCCCCAGCCCCGGCTCCCACCCTCTCCTCTCTGTCTCTGTGGACGGGACTCCTCTGGGGACCTCCTGGGAGTGGGGTCCTCCTGCGGGATGTGTCCTTCTGGGTGTGGCTCCTGTCACTGAGCCCAGTGTCCTCGGTCCATCCATATTGTAGCATTCCCTATTCTTTATTCTTAGCAGCTCTCTCCACACCTGGCCCGTAGTAGGCTGACAATAAGATTTTAGTTAACAAATGAATACAGTCTTCTTCATAACTCTGGTTGCTTTTATAGGGCATGGAACAAGCGCCTTTTTTAAATGTTACCTTCTCTCTATGAAAAAAAAATCAACGATTTTCAGTCTTCACCTTACTTGACCTATTGGCAGCATTGATACAATAACCAAATGATTGTGTTAAAATACATTGGATTGGTCACGTCTCTGATCAAAATTCTGCAATTGCTCCCTATTTCCCTCCAAAGCCTTTTGTGACCTACCTCCTCTTATCTCCAAATACACTTCCCCAGGTCTCTGTGCTTTGGCCACACCGACGTTCTTGTACACGCCTGCCTCTCAGTCCCTTATGGGTGAAAGGGTTTGCCTCCATGTACCCGCTGGACCAACTTCTCCACATTCATCTTTGCTCAAACATCTATGAGGCGTATTTGAGCATCTTACTTAAAATCACAGCCCTTACCCAGCATAGTCCCTTGTGGGTTCTATTATCCCAGAGCACTTCTGACATAATTCCATCACTTATTATGTGTATTGATTATTTTCTGCGTCTTGTCCTAGAATGTAAGCTCCAAAAGGGCGGGAAGGGTGATCTTTGTTTTGCTCACAGATGTTCTTCCAGAAAAGGCCCTGACACATAGTAGGCAGGGGTGTTGAGCAGATGAATCTGCGTCTTAAGCTGACTGGAAGGGCATCGGCGTGGTGGACGCTCGGGGAGGAACAGCCCCCCGCAGGAAACGGTTTCCCGTCGCGGGCCAAGCCTCCATAGGAGCGGCATTCAGCACCAGGGGCCCCTGGACAGCTCTGGAAGCCAAGTCCTGTCGGAACCTTTCCTCTAAGGTCGCAGTTTCCTGCCGGAGCCACCTGCTGGCTGTACCTACCGCTCAGCAAGAGGAAACTACTTTTCCGTGCCGGTGGCGGGGGTGGGGGAGAGTCGCAGGTTGAGTGGCGGCCGCAGCAGCCAATGACACGGCGCGCTCGGCCCCGTGGCGCCCGGGGTAGCTAATGGGCAGGGGCGTGGGCGGGGCGTGGGCAGCCGCGCGCGGACCCGGGGCTGGACAGGACCGCGGCTGTGGGGTCGAGACCGCGCGGCGGTTGAGCGGCGGGCGGCGCCGGCGGGCGGGCGGGCGAGGGCCCGACGGAGGTGCGTGCGGGCCGGAACCGGGGGCCGGGAGCCGGGGCTGGGCGCCGGAGCGGGGCGGGGCGGTTCGGGGCAACGCCGGCTGGGCAGCCCGTTAGCCGAGGCCGGGCTGCGGCGCCCGCCGCTGGTTCCCCAGTTAGCGGCGAAATGTATGCTGATTTGCTTCCGACTCCCCAGGCGGAGCGCGAGTGCTCCCTTTCGGGTGGGGCCCGCTCGGCCTCGCCCTCCTCGGGGCGCCCGGTGCAGCGCGGTGCACACAGAAGGCGCTCAATAAATGCCTGATGGAGGAATGAATGAACGAGCCCCTGCCTCCTCGTCCCAGCCCATCAGCCCCGGTGTTGAGAGCGTGCAGGCCACCCCCTGCCGCCACTGCACAGCCTGGGCATCGGGACACCCGGCAGGTGTTTACTGGGTGCCTCCTGTGTACCTGGCTGTGCGTCGGGTGGTGCGGGCCCGGGGCGGGGGGAGTCCAGCTTGAGCAAGACAGACTCCCAGTCCCCGCGGAGCTCGCAGCCTCGAGCAAGTGAGCTCAGTCAAGGACTCCCCAAGTTATGTAGTTTCCGTCGCACAAATGATTCCAGAACCTAATGCCAGGGAAGGGGGCGGGAGAGGCCTCTCCAGCTGGTGGCATCTGCGCGGAGACCCGAAGACCTCACTCAAGTGGGGCGTGGGCAGTGAGGACAGGGAGAGTAGGAGGGGAAACACGGGACAGAGGAGCAGCCAAGGGCCCTCCCACTAACCGTGGGGTTTCCAGGGTGAAATCTGCTCCACTTGGGCTCACTGAGGTCCACATGCTTTAGCTCACCTGTTGGTTTGCAGTGGTTACTGAGCCTCTGTTCTGCAGCAGGCCTCGTGGTGGGCAAAGGTCAGCCGAGGAGGCCCTTCCAAGGGATCCTAAAGGCAGTGACCCTAAAAGACAAGACCCCATCGGGAGGTTGGGGGAAAGATGTATTCCAGGCCCAGAAAACAACCAGGGCAAAGGCCCTGAGGCAGGAACGGGCTGGGCATACTCAAGGACCACAGAGGCCCATGTGGGACGAGGCGAAGCAGAGGCCGATGGTGCGGAGCCTTCTATACAGGGTATGGTGCTGGGTTTTATGGAAGGGCAGTGGGGAACCAGTGGAGCAGCACCACCCAGTAGAACATCCTGCAACAATGCAAAGGTTCTCTGTCTGTGCCGTCCAGTGCGGTCACTACTGCACCTGTGTAGCTGCTGAGCATTTGAAATATGGTTAGTGTGACTGAGGAGTTGAACTTTGCCTTTTATGGAATTGTAATTAAACAGACACCCATGGCTCGTGACCGCCATATTGGACAGCACGGCCGTGGCGAATTTTCTGCAGGAGGCAGTGATATGGGCCAGGCCCGGAATGGAGTGAAGTAGGGGGGGTGATGGGCTTGGTCACTAAAGCTGCTCAATACTCCAACAGCTGACGTGGTTGCCCCTGGCGCTCACAGTGGCTGGACAGAGGCATGAGCCCCCGGCTACCTGGTTGGGCCCGGTAGCACGCCGTGGGACAGGAGTGTGCCCCCACACATGGTTTGGCCCTGCAGCGACCAGAACAGCCCGGGCTGCCACCATGATGAAGCTGCTGGTGGCCAAAATCCTCTGTATGGTGGGCGTGTTCTTCTTCATGCTGCTTGGCTCCCTGCTCCCCGTGAAGATCATCGAGACGGATTTTGAGAAGGCCCATCGCTCCAAAAAGATCCTCTCACTCTGCAACACCTTTGGAGGTGGGGTCTTCCTGGCCACGTGCTTCAACGCTCTCCTGCCGGCTGTGAGGGAGAAGGTAAGGGTTCCCTGGCGGTGGCCGCAGCCCGTGGCACCTTGTGACCCCGGGTCTCTGGTGTGTTTTCAACGATGCCACCAAGTTTGGTGGTAGCTGTGACACTACAGGAGTGACAGGAAGTGAGTTTGCTGTGTGACCATGGGTTGGTTGCTTCTCTTCTCTGGGCCTTACCTGGTAGACAAAGGGCTTGAACTAGACCTGGCTTGCCAGCTGGTGAGCCGATCCGTTGTTCCCTGAGCAGACCGCCCAGCGGGGTAGCACACGCTTTGCCCTGTAGCGGGTGGTGTGGGCCTCGCCTCAGCACCTGTATCAGGCAGCTACTGCTGCTTAACAAGTGATGACAAATTTAGCAGCTTAACACAGCATGTGTTTGTTATGTCGCGGTTTCTGTGGGTCAGGGGTCTGGACACCACTTAGCTGGGCCCTCTGCTCCAGGCCCTCATCAGGCAGCATTCCAGGTCTCCTGGGCTGTGGTCTCATCTCAGGGTTTGACGGGACAGATCCATTTCTAAGCTCATGTGGTATTGAGGCAACTTCAGTTCCTTCCCAGTTGTCAGACCGAGGGCCTTGCTTCTCCGTGGCTGAGGGCTGCCCTCAGTCCCTTCCACGTGGCCCCCCCAGTATAGCCACTTGCTTCATCAGCAAGTGTCTGGATTTCTGCCACACGTCTGTTGTTCCCTGCTCCCCACCTTGTGTTCCTTCATAACACAGCGTGAGAGCTCACACGGCATCCCTGGGGGTAAAATTTCAGAGTCCTCTCTCAGGCCGTCTGCACCCCCAGAGCCTCTTCCAGCCCTGCCCCCCCCATCTGCCACATTCTCGTGCCGTCACCCCTCATCACACTTCTATCTCAGGCCGGGGCTGCTGTGATGTTCTTGCTCCTCCGCATCGCCCTTCAGTGCCTGTGGCCCTCTCATGGTCCTCCCCACACTGCTCCAGGCTGCACCCCTGCCCGCACCAGAGCCTTGGCGGGTTAGGTCCCTCCCCCGGCCCCCTGCCAGGCTCAGCGGGCACCTGCTGGCTTGGTCACCCCACAGATAGCAGCCCCCAAAACTGTGGCCTTTGTGTGTCTGATGATCTGATCTGAGTTGGTTAGTGTTTCTCACTGGCTGGAGTTCCTGGGGGCGGAGCACATGCAGGCCTCCTGGAGATGCTTAGCAAATGAATGAAATGGCCCATCCGCAAAATACAGCCTTCTGCAGCAGGGGTTCCCATGCGGGTCGACTCTGCGTCCAGGGGACACTGAGTGAGGGCACGTGACTGGGTCAGGAGGTCTCACCTGGGCCAGTCCTGCCCCCAGGGACACCTGTGGTCCTCACGATGAGGGATGCTCCTGGCATCGGGTGGGTGGGGCTGGGGATGCAGTTGAACACCCCCCACACCTCCCTCTGGTGCCCAGGACAGCCCCCCACTGAGAACGACCCTGCCCCAGTGTCAGCACTACCCCCCCCCCACAAGTCATGACGACCAAAATGTCTTCAGTGTGTCCTGGAGGGGCGGCGTAGCCATGTGGCGTGCGCGTGTGTGTGTGTGCGCACGCGCTCCCAGGCTGTCATGAAGGGGTGCTGTGAGCATAGTGTTGGGGCACCTGGCTCAGGTAGAGCACTTGGGAATTACATGCACCCCAAGACCCAAAGCGTGAGCATCAACCAGCTGTGAGTCACGCTGGGGGAGGAGCGGTCCAGACAGCTGATGGCACGTTCTGCAGCCCCCAGGCTGGACAAGCTTGGTGTGTGCACACAGCCTCAGGAGTACGGGCAAAATGAGCCCAGCTCTGAGGAGCCCGCCCCCCACCTTGCTGGGCAGCATCCAGCGCTGGGCTGTACCAAGCAGCAGCCCCTCACCTTGCCTGTCTAGTTGAGTTTCAGTGAAATAAATGAAACATGAGTCAACATGCCAGTCCTTGGCCAAGCCGGCTGTGTTTAAGGTCCTCATGGGCCATGTGTGGCTGGTGGCTTCCATATCAGACAGATAGAAAGCATTTCCGTCATCAGAAAGCGCTACTGGGTGGCGCTGGCTGGCAGGATCTGCTCGGCGGTGGGGGGGGGGGGGGGGGGGGGTGGGCGTGGATATGCAGAGTCTCACGCATTCTTAGCATACTCACCCAGGAAGACCTTTGGAAACAGCCCCACCCGGCGTCCTATGGAAGCAGACCCCCCACAGGCCTTCAGGGCTGCAGAGGCTGGTCGATGGCACAGTGAGGGAGTGTCTGTCCCGTGCCATTTCCCTGCTTCTGGAGGGTTCTTGGCAGTCCTTGGTGTTCCTTCACTTGTAGGTCCATCACCGCGGTCTCTGCCTCTGTGGTCACCTGCCCGTCTCCCTGTGTGTCTCTCTGTGTCCCCTCCTTTTGTGTCTCATAAGGACACCGTTACTGGATTAAGATCCCACCCTAAGGATGATCTGTCTCGTCTCCAGATCCTTATCTTATGTAGGATTTCCCCGGGGCTGGGGAAAATAGCAAAACACCTCAGATGTTTGCTGTCTGTCCTTGTGGAGGCCAGGGGTCCAGGAGGAAGGGGCTGGCAGGCCTGGGTCCCTCTGAGGCCTCTCTCCTTGCCATCTCTTCACGTCGTGGTTCCTGTAAGGACTCCGGTCCTAGTGGGGCAGGGCCCACCCTCACAGCCTCATTTTAACTGAATCACCTCTCTAAAGACCCTTTCTCTAAGGAGGGTTAGTTTCAAATTCTGGATGTTCAGAGACTTGAATATAAGAATTTTTGGTGGGGGACACAATTCAGCCCATCACACCTTCATTATATCCACAAAGACCTTTCTTCCAAATAAGGTCACATTCTGAGGTTCCAAGTGGATATATCTTTAGGGAACCACAATTCAGCCCACTACAGCGTAATTAATATTTGGCTGATTTAGTGGATATAATGTAAAGCCTCACAATGCCCTTTGTAATAGGGTTTTTGGGAGTTTTATTTTTTGGAATCCAGCAAGGGTGAGCCCACCTTCTCCTTTTTTTTTAGCTTCTTGTGTGAAGTGGGTATTTCTGTGCTTTGCTAATTGAACAGTGATATCTCCCCCAAACCCTGTTGTGTTGGTAGCAGGAGTGCAGGCCGCCCCCTCTGAACCTCTCTCTCCCTCCTTCTCCTCTCTTGCACGTCTTCTGCTCCAGCTCCAGAAAGTTCTGAGCCTCGGGCACATCAGCACCGACTACCCACTGGCCGAGACCATTGTGATGCTGGGCTTCTTCATGACCGTCTTCCTGGAGCAGCTCATCTTGACCTTCCGCAAGGAGAAGCCATCGTTCATCGACCTGGAGACCTTCAACGCTGGTTCGGATGCCGGCAGTGACTCGGAGTATGAGAGCCCCTTCATGGGGGGTGCGCGGGGCCACACGCTCTATGCGGAGCCCCACCCCCACGCACACGGGCTGAGCGTCCAAGAGCTGTCTCATTCCAGCCCGCTGCGGCTCCTCAGCCTGGTGTTTGCCCTGTCGGCGCACTCCATCTTCGAGGGCCTGGCCCTGGGCCTGCAGGAGGACGGAGAGAAGGTAGTGAGCCTGTTCGTGGGGGTGGCCATCCACGAGACGCTGGTGGCCGTGGCCCTGGGCATCAGCATGGCCAGGAGTGCCATGGCCCTGAGGGACGCGGCCAAGCTGGCCATCACTGTCAGCGCCATGATCCCCCTGGGCATCAGCATCGGCCTGGGCATTGAGAGTGCCCAGGGGGTGCCCAGCAGCGTGGCCTCGGTGCTGCTGCAGGGCCTGGCAGGCGGCACGTTCCTCTTTGTCACCTTCTTTGAGATCCTAGCGAAGGAGCTGGAGGAGAAGAGCGACCGTCTGCTCAAAGTCCTCTTTCTGGTGCTGGGTTATGCCGTCCTGGCCGGCATGGTCTTCCTCAAGTGGTGAATTTGCCCATCACCCGCCCGCCGGATACAGGCGGTCCCCCCCTCTCCCAAGCAGGGGAGCTCAGGCACCGGGCTGCCACCTGTGCACAGAGGGGCCGCGCCCCAGATCCAACACCCTGAGCCTGGGGCACAGCAACTACTTTTAAAAATACTTCTCTTAAAGTTATTTACCAAAGCTGTGTGGCCATGTCATCCTCTGGCATTGGGATCTGATGACTCACACAGGAGGTGGGGCTGGGCAGCCGCATGGGGTTGGGCTGGGACCCTCCCCCCCCCCACTCCTGCCTGCAGACAGGACAAGACCATGGCTTCTCTGAGCCACTGAGCCCATCTGAAGGCCTGAGACTTCTGTCCTCTGCTCCCAGCTGGCTCTGTCACATGGAGCGTCCATCCGGCGGTCACACAGGGAAGCTCTGACTCCTGCCACCTGAGGCAGTGCCTCGAGGGGGACGGGCAGGGTGCCAGGTACCTCAGCACTTCCCTCTTCTTCTCTGCCTTCTGCTGTGCCCTCCCACCCCGCCCCCCACTGCCATACACTTGGTGGACCCGAGAGATGCAGAGATGCGCAGGCAGGGCTAGGGGCTGGCTGGGCCGTTGGTTCTCAGTCCCCGGGGCTGTGGGGCCGGGGACACACACTGTGAATCACCCCCCGCAGACGCAGATGAAGCCAGAAGCTGCCTCAGGGTGCGGGAGCTCAGGGCGCATGTGGGGCTGGCACCAACCCTGGGCACCGGCTCCCTGGCAACCTTCTGTTCAACTTGCCTGTTGTCTCAGCAACCCCGATGCGGGCCTCCGGGGATAGGAGCCTGGGCCGAAAGCCTTGCCTGGGGGATTTTGCCATCAGAGGTGCTCCGGGGGGAGTGCGGGCCGGTGTCCTGGGCTGGGCTCGGCTCTCACAGCCTCAGCGCGAGGGCCCAGGTGCGTGCCTTCCCAGCACCCTGGTCCCCTTCCTCTGCCTCACTCCTGGCCTGCAGGGCCTCCCGAGCACAGGCCCCTTCTGCCCCGGGGCCCTGGGCTTGGTGGGGCCTCGTCCCCAACTCCAGCCTCATGGGCACCCCGGGGGCTGGCCTGCTGCCACCGCTCAGCCCCTCCTAGCACAAGGTGACAACCTTTGCCACCGCCCCAGCCTCCTTCAGTTTTGTTACAAGAGGCGGGGGGATCGGGGATGTGTGTCCAAGAGCCTCAGCTTCTGCTCTGCCTGCCCCTACCCTGTTGCTGCAGAACGGTCAGGCCTGTTGCTAGAAGCTTCTGTCTGACTTGTCCTGGAGACCCATCTCCAAACCGCACGTGGCCTGCCCCTGCCCTGTGCTGGGAAAGTGACCCCCAGGGTGTAGGGACATCATCCTTTCCATTGTGCCCTGGGTTGTCAGCCTCGGCCTGCCCCCCTGCTTCACTCCACTCAGGAACTGGAAGTTTCCACCCACTTGGGCTTTTCCCTGAGTGGGCGGGTCATTGTGGAGCCACCAGGTTCTGTAGCCTGCCTTCATCGGGGCTGGGGTCGTCTCTGCTCCAAGGACCCCAGCTCTATACGCCCTGTCACTGCCAAAAGCACACACACCACAGGGTCCCTACCCTCCTACCAGCCATCAGCTGACTACCCCCTGCCCCCACTGGTGTCTCCAAGGCCATGTCCCCCTCGCTGTGAGCACACTTCCTGACCAGTAGGCCCAGGAAGGGCACCACCACACCAGCAAGGAGCCTTTGGTCATGGAAAGGCCCAAGGGCCCCCCTGCCAGCCCCTCGGTCAGACGTCACCACTCCCCGAGTCCTCAGCGTCCTCAGATTCTCTCCATCTGCTGGGCTGTGGCCATTCCCAGCTGACCTGCTCTCCCTAGGGTCCTACCAGCCCCAGCAAGCTGCTTCCAGGCCCCCTGAGGATGCTGGGACCCCAAGAGGTTTGAGGGGGCTGTGTTGTAGACGAGGACACCTCTGGCCACCCCTTTTGTCTTCTGTGCCCAGTGGAGCAAGGCTCAGCCCTGGGACCTGCTTCCAGAAGCTGCCGTGGTTGGCCAGCCGTGGGGGTGACGGAGTCTTGGTCTTGGTCTTGGTCAGCTTTCTCCGCATTGGGTGAGGATCAGACCATCTCCGCACCGAGGTAGAAAGAGTGGCTGTTTTGCCCTCCCAACGGAAGCCCGGAGAAGCGGCGATCACTCCTGAGGTTTCCTGGGCTCTGGTGGCCAAGTCTGGTCTAGACCAGGGTCTTCTGAGGCCTGCCCGGGGCTCCATCCCCCACCAGCTCAGACACCGGAGCACTGCCATGTGGTGACAGCAGCTTTCCTGTGGATACAACTGAGGATCGATCACCAGTTGGCCCTGGACCAGCCCCTGCACAAAACTGGACATCAGCCATGAAAGGCCATCTGTGTGCAACTTTGTGATCCGAAGGAGATGTCGTGCGGCCTGCTGCCACAGAGATCCCTGCCTTTTGGGGGTCTTCTCACTCCGTGGTTCTCAGGGGGGGTCCCCCAGGGCGCACCAGGTGGTGTCCGAGGACGTCTGTGGTGGTCACACTGGGGTGTCACCGCTCTAATTCCTAGGAAGTGACAGTGGGTTCCACGCAGAGGACAGTTCGTTCTGAGATCCCATGTGCGTGTTGGAAAGAGAGGAGGCAGGCAGATGCCTGCTGACGGACAGCCTGGCACACTTGGCAAGGGCTGGAGGCACGGCTGCCGCAGCTTGGATGTGAGGGTGCCCAGAGAGCACACACTGCTGTCTGTCTGACAAAACCAAGCCCTCCACACAGAACACCAAACACCAACTCTGTCCGTATGGCCGTGGCTGGGTCAAGGCCACCCCCAGCCACCTGCTCAGCCTAGGCTTCTCCCAGCCCCTAGCGGGAGGGGTCCTGGGTGGGCAGGGGGAGGTGGGGGTGCCCTGGGCTGGGGGCACCACTCTGAGCTCTGCCAGGAGGAGAATTACCTCGGACGGGTCTCCCGTCGTCAGCCCTTTTCCTCTACCGGGAGGTCCCTGGGCCAGGCCTCAGCCCTCCAAGGTCTGCTCTGCGTGGGGGCTCAGGGCACAGGCAATAGCTGGATGGAGTCAACCACATTCCCCTCCTTGATCTGGAGACAAAGGGGGAAATTACGAGGCCTCGTGGATTGAATCAACCTTAATAACAGTGTGTCGGGGCTTCTGTTGTCTGCTGTTTGTGTCTCTGGTGCAGAAGTTATTAGCGTCGGGCAGGAAGGCGGTGCGCCATTTCCCCGCCTCTCTGCGTCTTTCCAGCCCCCAGAGGCAGACAGGGGAGGGGATGGTGTCTCCCAGCCCACGGTGGCATCAGACCTGCCCTGGCCACCAGCCCTGGACCTGCCAGGGAAAGAGGCACGCATCCCACCTGCCCCAGCCTGTGCCCACCCTTCGGGGCAAAGCCAGTGATGGGCCCATCCGACCTTCTTCTTCCCCGCAGAGCCTCCTGCGGGCGGGGGCATTGTTCCCTGAAGACGTAGAGCTCTCCTCTGGGCTGCTGGGGTGCTAAAGCCGGATTGGGCTGAAGCAGGGGGAACCCGCTGCGTGCCCCTGCCACCATGAAGACCTCTGTGGCTCCCACGGCAGGAACAGCTGGTCTGGCTGGCTGCAGTGCTCGACAGAGGGCTGGGGCGATTGGTGTGTGCCCAGCCCGGCCAGGCAGAAGCGGCTGGACAGGTGGGCGGTTCCGAGCCCCGGCTTCCTGGGTACATGGGAGGCCTGGCCGAGGTACTGCATTTAGACCAAAGTAAACAGCCACCACGGTTGGCAGGTCTCTCCATCCAGGGACCAGCTGGGCCTCCCTCTGAGCATGTTCAGGCCCAGCCACTCTGGCTGACAAGCTCAGACAGGGTCTCTATCCCGGCACCGTAGACATTTGGGGCTGTCTTGTTGCCCGCCGGGTGCAGGCTGTGAGCCACATTCTGGCTGGGGGTGGGGCTGCAGGATCTGCAGTGCCACCCAGCCCCCAAGTGCTGCTGATGCTACTGGCCTGGGGACACGTTTGAGATCCATTGCCCGACTCCGGGTCTGTCTCTCCCAGCACTTCTGATACCAGACTCTCGGGCACTGTGTGTGTGTGGGGGGGGAGCGCTGAGCCGCATTCCTGGCCCCCGCCCACATGATGCCAGGAGCACCCCAGCCGTGGCCACCACAAGTGTCCCCCGACAAATATCCCAGAGTCCCCCGAGGGTGAGGCCCACTGCCCTAGGATGCATGGCAGCTCGCCTAGTGAGGGGAGACAGATGACATATCAGCGTGAAATGCAGTATCAGCAATAAATGCCGTGAAGACAGAAAAAGCAAAGTGAAGGGAGAGAGATAAGAAAAATGCAAATGATTTTAGCAACGTGGTCAGGGAGGAAATCCCTGGGGGCCACACTGGAGTCCCAAGAAGATGGGGAAAGAGCTTTTCCGGGGGAGGGATGGGGGACAGACAGCCTGTGCAAAGGCCGTGAGTCTTTCTGTGAGTCATGGTCCTTTTTTTTCCTGACTGCCCACAGCCGCTGTGGCAGTCTGTAAAACACCCAAGCATCATGGGGCTTTATCCTGCCCGTGGCGAAGACTCTGGGGACCCCCCCTCCTCAAGAGGTAACGGTAACAGCAGCAGCACCCCGTATTTTGGGAGGAGCTCCAGGCTGCCTCCATTTGGCCCAGCAGGTGGCTTCGGCGAAGAGCCTGCGTCTTTCACTCAGGGCTGGGGTCCAGCTCTGCAGAGGCTGACTGGCAGAATTCAGGCTTGGGAATGCCAGCCTATTCATTTTCCAAGGCAAACTGGGTTTGGACAAATGATTTTCTTATTTTCGAATGTTGACGCCAAACTTAAACAAAAAACCGTGGGGACCAAACTGCATCTGCTAGAGACCATGACACTTGGTCTCTGCTTTGCCCACATAATTGCATTAATCCTGGGAGCACAGAGAGAGAGCAGAGAATGCAACCCAGCCACCTTCCCCCCGCCCCCAACAGCACTGCCAGGAGTTGGGGGGGGCAGGTAGGGATAAGCAAGGCCAGTGTGCCCCCCCCCCCGCCGTCCCAGAGCTTTGGGGCAGGGAGAGGTCCCATGGGCTGCCAGGCCAGGTGAAGAGGTGGGACTTTGCCGGTGGACAGTTGTCCCTTGCAGTGGAGACGACTTATGCAGGACAGGGACAGCCAGCCAGGGGTAGCAAGAAGGCTGGGTTGTGGCTTCAGAGCTCAATGGACCCGAGTTCCA